ATTCCTTGACAGCCCTAATATATATTTTTAATTCATAAATAAATAAATAAATAATTATCTTATTAATCATGCATAAAATATAAAAATAGTTAGTAAGAATACAATGTTGTGTAAACATTTTGAATCCAACAATTGAAAGAAAAAAAAACTTGCTTAAATACATAGTGCATTTTAGGACAACTCTCCTGGATTGAATTGATTTGATGTAAATTTGCATATGTAAGCATAATCATTCTCAGAATGTTCAAAGGACTATCAGATCTATAACACAACCAACACCATGCGGACAAACCATTGCATGAACCTGCTGAGAGACACTAATTATACTTCAAAACTCAAACCAAGGTTTTCCAGGCTCCATTAACTTTGCTTTACCGGCTTAACTTCCAATTACAGCCGCAGCTTTTGTTAACTTGCCCCTCATTGCCTGAAAGCTAAGAGCTGGTGTGCATAAATTAACTGTATATGCAAATATAAAGGCAATGTCCCATTCATTCAGAATGCTACTGGTGCCAGTGTTGCTCAGGGAGCAAGTGGGTGGAGTACCCAGAACTCATGTTCTTCATGAAGATGGAGTGCCCCTGGCCTTCAAGACATGACTTTAAACCCCTTTCAAAAGCTGCTGCTGTGTAGACAATAACATGGTTCTTTGGTTTGGTTCTGCATGGTTAAACTCACATAATGTGAGGTGTAAGTGATTTCACACATACTCGTAGACTCAAAGCCTCTTGTCCAGGCAACCGTATATGTCATCCTCATTTAAGCTCACAATATGTTTGGCCCTGGTTCAGTTGCATGATCTATCATGCTGTAAGATAGAAAAATGGAGGCTGCCAAGTGATTGGTACTTGCTAAAGTACCATTACAATTATAGTTTTCTATGCAATAGGTCTTATGGATTTTTGCCTGGTTGATAATGAAACATTGAAAAATACTGTAGATGCATACAATATAAGAGACTTCGACCAGTAAGAAACAACCTATCAATTTGGGCTGAGCGGTATATCAAGTTTGTACGTATCACGGTTGCCTACTGTGAGGAGTGAGAAACGAGGAAACAAGGGATTTCACACAGAATAGTCTTTAATAATCTACAGGCGGAAACACAGGGTAGCCAGGAGTCACACGTAGCACAAGGATGTTAAAAACCAACAAACACAGACTGGGGCTAAATACACAGGATAATTGGGAAGACACAGGTGTATGGGATGACTAATTAAACTAAACGAGGACAGGAACAAGTCCAAATAAGGGAACACTAGAACAGAAACAGGGGCAAAACAGAACATACAGTCCAGAATCCTGACAGCCCTATTGCTAAACAAACACAGTGATACCAAGACACTCTTTGGCGAATGGTGCCTAAATAAGTTGAATTCGTATAATCTTATTTGTATGGTTTTGTAGGACCTTCTTATGCCCACTGATGGTTTATAGGTGGATCCTTATGCTTATGGTTTTGCTAAAAATGGTATGTTTCCATACAAATCACATTGTGCGAACTGATACACCTAAAATAGTTACATCTCAGTTACTAATTTCACAGTAGTGCTTGATGTTAACATGTTGCTAAGCTAGCACAGTGATACCAAGAGACTCTCATGGCAATTCGTAACTGTTTTACGTTTTGGTGAATTGGTGGATAATTCGTATGAATTTGTACAATCGCATTGGTACATTTTCGTAGGATCTTCTTATGCCCCATTGACCGTTAGAAGTGGATATTCATGCTTACGTTTTTGCAAAAAATCATACTTTTCCATACAAATCACATTGTATGATCTGATACAAAATTGCCACCTCGTAAAATAATTAAAATTTTCTCAGATCGTATTGATGATATAAAAATGCATAGCATATTGAGTTAGATTGAATTTTTTATCTATACTTGTCAGGACTGAAATATATTAAAGGGGTCATATGACGTTGCTAAAAATAACATTATTTTGTGTATTTGGTGTAATGCAATGTGTTTACGCGGTTTAAGGTTAAAAAAACACATTATTTTCCACATACTGTACATTATTGTTGCTCTTCTATGCCCCGCCTTTCGGAAATGCGTCGATTTTTATAAAGCTCATCGTTCTGAAAAGCGCGGTGTGCTCTGATTGGTCAGCTATCTAGTGTGTTGTGATTGGCCGAATACCTCAAGCGTGTGACGGAAATGTTACGCCCCTTACCAGGTTCAGGAAACTTTCCCCCGTAAAATGCGCTGCACACACACTCGAATATTTGGGTTGTGCTGTTCTGGAACAGTGTTGTAAATAAAACTTAACCACTGATTTCTAGTCCTCTTTTGGAAGGCCAAACAAAGTAGTTTCGCTTTCACAACGAAACACACAGCGTCTCCACGACTTGCCTTCTTTCTTTGCGTATACATTTGGGCGGTGTTATGCAAATCTTCCCACACAGTGACGTGGCGTGTTTGAACGAGGCGTTTTAGGAAGGCGTGGATGAGCATTCACTTTTATAAAGAATATCTCTTTTGATTTGAAACTTTAATCTTTGCGACTTTACGGATCTTCTATATGCACGAACAGCTTTTAACACTCCAAAGACAAAGGAAAACATATGACCCCTTTAATAGTCATTTTAATTGAGCATGCGGTGCATTCTGGGAGTATTTATCTTATTCATGAAAGATGATTGGAATTCTTACTGCAGTCCAAACCGGATAATTCCTCCTCCAAAGGGCACTTTGGAGTGAGAACAATCATGGCTGCCATATTGAAGAGTCATACAAACCAAAGTGCTCAAAACTGGGCGCTTCAAAGTGCCCTTCGGAACAAAGGATTTCGAAGGGTACAACTGATGCAAACTTCATTCCTATGATTTTATGTGTGCGACGACAGCAACTCAACACAGAAGTGTGTTCCAAGGAACAGTCTTTTAGTCTCCTACACCCTTCATCCCTTGAAGGCATGAGCCCTTCAGAATAGAAAGCAGTGCTTGACTTACATTTTGGCTGGAATAAGGTATATAAACTTGTTTTACTTCGGTAATGTGATGTATTTCTTATTACTGTATATTTGATGACGGAAAAAAATTTGGGAAGCACCTGATTTTTATTCATTGGGAATCAATTGGATTGTGAAAACTGATATGACAGTTTATAAGTGGCCAATTTGGAACATGACTATATTATCTCACCCCTCATCTATATATATACACACACACACACACACACACACACACAGTAAAGCCATCTTTGTCCCATTCTCTTTCTTCTTTTTAATAGAGGCCAGGCGTAACACTCTGTTCTCCATGTGTGCCATGCCACACACGTCTTTTTTGAAGCGCACACCCTTGCTAAGCAGCTCTGGTTCTGTTTAAATTGTTAATTACAAAGCCTTGCATCACTGTGTGTGTGTGTGTGTGTGTCAGTCCATTTTATACGTTTGCCATCACTCTAGGGTTTTAATGTTAACAAGAGCTTTGGAAATGGCCCAAACCTCAGACAAGAGCTGCCCACTGTGACATGTTTTACAGATTACGCTGGCTGTGGAAAAAATTTCCAGCCCGACACTTACGCAGAAACAGTCTCTAACTGGCCTAAATATGATCATGTGATGATCTGAGTGTCAAATTGTAATAATTGTATTCTCAAATACCTTCACTTAGTGTTAAAATTCTCGCTTTTTTGTGTTTATTTGACAGCCAGGTGTGACAACGTGCTACGCCGCATCACAGCTTGACCTCAGAACTCAAACAGAAGTCCAGATAAGGATGTGGCCGCTTGAATAGCCCTGTGTGTTTCCCATAGTTCAGTTCCCAGACTGAAAAACCTCTGAGTCAATGCCTGAGAATGCAGAGCGGGCATTGAAAACTACTGCAGTCTGCACAAATACCCTCTGTGTGACGATACATGCAGATAATATCAACAAAAACAGTTTGAATCATTCTCGCTGGTTTAGAGATACAGCACATACTTTTAAGGGAACGTACTGGGTTAAATACAAGATGTGACATGCTGTCACAGAAAACCATTTCAACTCCTCCCTCAATGTGAAAAAATAAACCATTGTGTTTACATTCATTTGCTTACAATTGATTTCTGAAATGTGCTGCTAGCATTTTTAAACACATACTAATTCTCCCATATAAAATTATGAAAGTTGTGAATTATTTGAGCTGTGTCGTTGTCTAAAACATTGCTAAGTGGCAGGACTACTGTTCTAGGCAGATTTTCTCATTTAAGTAGCCAGTGTGAGACATTAGCATTTTGCTATGCTAACAATACGGCTCACTACTGAAATATCTAACATGATTTGCTTGTATTGAATCCTGAAAATATTAATTTAAAGAGACAATTTACCAAAAAAATGCTAATTTTGTCATCATTTATTTACAGTGAAAGTCAATGGGATCCAATTTTGTTTTTGGACTCCTTACTTTATATGGACAAAAACCGTTTAAACACTGTTCAGAATATCTTATTTTGTGTTCCACAGAAGAAAGAAAGTCATACAGGTTTGGAATGACATGAGGGTGAGTAAATGATGACAATGTTTATTTTTGGGTGAACTGTCCCTTTAAGTAGTAAACAGATGGAAGTTGATTGTCTTGTGAGTTTGTGAGCTAAACAAGTACTAACATGTTTTTTTGGACATGTACTATGGTAAAACGCCTAAAAGAAGCACTAATAAATCATTAAGGAACTATAATTGGTAATTTACATGCTAGTATGTCACTAAATGTAAGACGCAACCGTTTATACTGTTATATATTTATTCTGCACCTGCATTATGGAGTTGACATAAAGCTTACGGGAAAGGAATTATACAAACATATTTGGCATGCCATTTTTCATTTCATCTGTATGCACCTCAGGCTAAAATACAGAATAAGTGTAAACAGGCCTGTACAAATGTCAACAAAAGGACGCACACAGGAGAACTTCTCAAATAATGAGCTCTCCGCTTGCATGGCTGTATGCTAATTCCCCGCAGCCTTTAAACCTGATTGATAGTGTATTTTTGTGCGTTTGTCTTTGGTTTTAGTTCCTTTCAAGCGCAGCCCTCTGAGAGAGAACTCTTTTCCTGAAACTTTGACACCATGTCAAGGAGACTAATGAACTGTGTAGTATCTCTTCATGCGTAACGATGGGTGTCTGTCAAATCAACGCAAGACTCAACTCGTCTGAACAAAGTACAACACTGTCTAATGACTTTATTTCATTCATTTGCTACTTTTATGCCAGAAAAAGCTGGGGGTTTGGTCCACGCACTGTGAAAGCACATAACATGTGGCTTTTCATATGTTTTTCATCTCTTTCTCTCTCCGTTTTGCCTTTCAATGTATTTTTTTCTCCCTCTCTCACCAAAACAGACAACAAGCCCTCACCACCCCCGGAGAACACAGGGTATGATGCCCGCGGTGAAGAGGAGTCTCTTTGTTGCAGTCTCAAAGATAGCAGCAGCTCTCGCTCCCTCCCCAAGACTGCTATCAAATTATTCCACTGGCCCTTTGAGCATCACCCCACAGACCCCCACGCATTTTTGTGGATATATATATATATAAAGGTTTTGTAGCTTTCTGGAACTTCAAACTCCAAGCTGAAGGCTTTTTTCCTGTTGCTCTTTTTTCCTTGGTGGGTTTTTATCTTGTGCATGCACACATAAATATTAATCGACAGACACTGTAAATAGATGTTTTATGATTTATAACTTAACTCAGAAGTATGCTTTTGCTGTCAGATTGTGTAATTACAATATCCACCAGTAGGGACTAAACAGAATAACCTTGATTTCTTAGGATTTCAGGATCTCGCTGGAAGTAGTAGGTCATCCCGGTACTTTTTGCCTACGGTTTTATAAATACTGTGAACTCACATACTACTGTTTTCACAAAGCTACTGTTTTTCACTTACTATGCATATTAGAATGCAGGCACTTCATGAGATCACTTCCCGTTCATAGTCACATGACAACAAAATGGCTGCCTTCACGCTGGTTATACTCAACAAACTCTATGGCTGCGTCCGAAATCGCATAGTCTCTGCGCAGGTACTTCTTTTGAATAAGTATTATTTGCGACCGTTAAAAATGTAACCTACTACATACCAGACATACTACATTCCTCATGTTGTCATTGTTATGTGACCTATTAGAGTAGGGGCACACCAAACCGATGCCAAAGAACTAATGCTAAGGAATGCCGACTGTGGTGTTGCCTTGCATCGCCTGTATCGGGGCAGAAAAAGTTGCGCTAGAACACAACGGACAGACTACAGCCGATGGCCAACTAGCGTGTTCGCTCTGCACTTGCGTGAAAGAACATAACTCCCCCATACCAGCAGGTGGCAGTAGTCTGTATTCGCCATTCAAACAGGGAAACCGGGAGAGCTAGAACTGTGGATATACACAGCGGTTGTGGCTAGAAGGGATACAGCAAAAACCAGAAGCTAACAATAAATTGAATTTTCTACCTATTAGATTGTGTTTTATTAACGTCTACACCTACCCCAACCCTAAACCTACCCCTTACAATAATGCAAAAATAGTAATCATTGTTGTACAGTGTGAGAAAAATTACGCTATATTGATGTGCGCATGCCCAGTAGTTTTTGCTGTATCACTTCTAGCCTTAACCATATAAAGCAAGCAGCACAGCCTGCAGCCTGTACCTGAAAGGACCTGTTTGTTAGCATTCCAGTTCATCATTGGCACTTTCTTGGCTGGTGCATGACTAGGAGAATAGTACAGTGCCAACCGGCAAACCTTTGACCACTTTATAGTACCACACTGACTGATTTGGTGGGGGGAAAATGAGAGAAATAAGTTGCTTCACCTTTTCTGATTCTTTTATGAAAACACACCAAAATATCCCTTTTCAAGGATTTCAGCCATTATTTGGTCAAAATTTTAAATGTTATCTTATTATTTTAATTTTTTTTAGCATGTCTATATCGTTATACCACCTTGACAATTTTAATGTATGCCCCGCAAAATAAATGTAATTTTAATTACGAAATTGAAATATGTTCATCATTGAACAGATTAGATTTGTTAATTTGTTAATAAATTAATAAATCCAATCCCACTAAAATGAGTCATTAATATGTTTTATATTTAATATTACATTATATCAGAAATGATACTATATCATATTTTCAGTCTGTTCTTAGGAGAATAAGTATGAAAGTGATGGAAAGCATGATGTAGGGGATAGAATGAAAATCATCCGCATCATCACTCAGTGAAATGAATAATTGATCAGGCAAACTCTAGACTCCAGGGGAAAAGTGATTTTCCTGGAGGGCCCGCGGTGACAGATGGCGAACCACCGGATTCCAGTCTCCGCCCAGCCGTCTCCGAATCCCCGCCCCTCTCCGTGACATCACCGGCGCTCCGGCCCCGCCCAGATGCGATTCGAGCCGCGTTTGCCCAAGAGCCACAAAGAAGCACAAAGTGAAGTGACGAACTCCACACTACATCTGCGCGCTGCTTTGGATGAACATAACAGGAATGCAGAGGTGAGTTTTTTGCCATCGCTGCGCTTTAGTGCCTGTTAATCCTCTTGGCTGCTTTTGAATATATTCGGATTATATTTCGAAACCTCCGAAATGTTTGTGTTACTGTCTCAGCGCTCAGTGTTTTGTTGAACATGCGTTTCTTGTAACATTTCAGCTGCTTTAACAAACATGAAGTTGAACATATAGCCTATCAGATGTATTCAAATTTTAAATGCATAAACTTAAATGGGCAGATTATTAAGGCAACATGAATTATATATAGCCTACATACATAAAAAATAGTAAATGTTTTTAGAACGAAAAAAAAATCTTAATTTATTGATTGAATAAATTCAATTCATGGATGGATTGTGAATATTAATTCATTTTGATTGTGAATAGTCTCATTAATTGATATGGAATTGGACGTTCCCAGAGTTTCCCTTATGAACCACTTATTCCTGTGTTTCAAAAATATCTGTATTTTTGAATATTTATATTGATTTCTTCAAACATGTGTCTTTCAAGTTGCCAAAAACCATTTTAAATATACACGTTTATGCCAAAATACCATAATAACTGCAGTTACTACTACTGAAAAGTTATTAATGTGCACTGTAAAATGATTTCTCAAAGATGTAATTAAAACAAGGATTGTTGTTTTAAGTTTTGAAGTAACAAAGTGCGTTACTTGCTGTTTCTTTGTAATTGTTTGTAAAAATTGCTAGCTGTTTCTTAGTAAAAACTATTTCTACACCATTTTTTTCAGTGGTGTATAAATTTGATTACAATAGCTAATTCTAGTTACTAAACTACTGAAACTATGGTTACCATGGTACATTTTCATTAGGAACAACTTGACAGTTGGTTATTTGTTACCGTGGTTATCAGTGTTTGATAGTCACGACCACCCTGGTGGTCATTTCTAATGGTGAGGACATCCTATACATCCCCCCCCTCCCTCTCCGCTCCCATTCCCAGCCGTCTATCCCTTCTCCTTTTCCTCCCTCCCCTTTCCACATTCCTTTCAGACTTTGAATGGAACAGGATTGACCTGTGGCATAACTCAGCCTCGTTTTTCTACAAGACCTCAGCTCCCCCCTCTTATATTAACAATTTATTTTCAAGTTACGTGGTATATTAAACATTCATGACTTGCAGAACAAATGGCTGCTGCTACTTTAGATCGGTGTTTGTGTGTGTGTGTGTGTGTGTGTGTGTGTCTTCTTTTCGTAAGCTTGTTTGTAGTGAAACTATTTTTGTTGGGTCAGGAAACGTCTCAAAATCTTGAAAAGTTATGTTACAACAGTTCCAGATTCAATACAAGTTAACCATGTTAACATTTTGCTGTCTATAACCACAGGAAAAAAAAAATTGGCTTATTTGATTTGGACTTGCTCTTTGGTTTGTAAAAACAAACAAAAGATGCTTGTACAGTAACGTTCTTACAATGGAGTTAAAGCTTTGCTACAGTATGGCAAGTCAGACTTTAACAGTTATATGTGTTGACATGATGAGACTAGTGTGATTATAATAACTTACTAACCTTGTATGTATGTGCTAATTTATAACCATGTAAGTCGTCAAGTCCGTAAAACTGGCAGAAGGATGACAGAGTAGAACGTGACGTAACTATTCACAAAACATTGTTTATTGGCAAACTCAACTCACAGGAATAATGTTGCTATCTCATAACAAGAGGTTCATCTAGTTATGTTTAGAAAATACTTCACAGCTCAAACAACACTTTTTGTTCAGGTTTTGTGGTACAAGTTTGACATTTTTGCTTTTAAATGTTAGAAATGCCTCATGTCGTAGACTTTCATTGTAAGTGCATTATTGTACACGTAATGTAAATATGTATGTTTTTACGAACTAAGTCAAAATTATTTTCTCTTGTAATTGGCCAACGATTGCTAATCGGTCTTAAGGAAGCTGTGTATATTTTCATTGTTCAAAGTCACCTGATCCCGATCGGACATGTTTCTCAAATAATGTTGCTATCTCATAACAAGAGGTTCATCTAGTTATGTTTAGAAAATACTTCACAGCTCAAACAACACTTTTTGTTCAGGTTTTGTGGTACAAGTTTGACATTTTTGCTTTTAAATGTTAGAAATGCCTCATGTCGTAGACTTTCATTGTAAGTGCATTATTGTACACGTAATGTAAATGTGTTTTTACGAACTAAGTCAAAATTATTTTCTCTCGTAATTGGCCAACGATTGCTAATCGGTCTTAAGGAAGCTGTGTATATTTTCATTGTTCAAAGTCACCTGATCCCGATCGGACATGTTTCTCATTGAGAAGAGTTTTTGCTTTAAAAAATTAGTTGTAGTGTTTTTTTACTTGACACTTTACAAAAAAAAAGACAGAACCTCCAAAATTACATTTTATTGTCTAAAATGTGTAAAGCTGTAGTGTTCATTCTTTAAAAGTGATTGTTTTAAAAAAGCATCTTTAGCTAAATTTTTAGTGCAGCATGCTAATTTAACAACAACAACAAAAAAAAAAAGTAAATGAAGTATATAAAAAAAACACAAAAAAATAAATAATCGTAATAATCGTTATGAAAAAAACAACAACAACACAAGTCCAAAATCCAAAAATTGTCCATCTGAAATGTGTATGACTACAGTATCCATATATAATAAAATAACTACAATGAATGACATTTCACAGATTCTCTCGCGTTGAAAAAAACGCAAGGCACATTCGCCAAAATCGTCCGACTGAAATGTGTACAACTACAGTGTACGTTCTAAAAACAATACATTTAACGACAACTTTAACGCAACCTTTAGCACAGCACAGAAATGTAATTACCACTAAAAATACCAAAAGTGAAGAAAAAATTATATATAAAAAAAGCTAAAAAATAAATAATAATACACATAAAACACATTGTCCAAAATCACCAGTCTGAAATTTATACGGCTGTAGTCTCCATTTTTTAAAAAAGTGATAAATTTAACGAAAACCTTTAACGCAGAGGTGTCCAAACACAATCCTGGAAGGCCGGTGTCCTGCA